AAGTGTGGTTTGAATTTTTCCTAAGGTCAAGTTGTAGGTCATGACCATATGCCAATCCATGAACTTTGTTCCTAATTTTATATGTTCAAGCTACTTGAAAAACATGTTCTTTTGGACATGGGAGGAGTTGGGTACAAGAGTGTGGCTTGATATGAATCCATCACCATCACAGGAGAAAAACAATAAAAATCGTGTGTTTGGCTACTGGGGTAACAGTGGTGTTACTCCAGCATGTCAAAGATAGTTCATCCAGTTACACTTCTGTTGGTTTCACAGCTCAGTCTCTGTAATCACCAACACATATTCTCCTCTCCTCGTAGAACTCAGTAGTCTTGGTGCTCAATTAATCTTTGGCTGCTTGAGGGAGTTGCCAGTGTGTAGAAATTCCGCCAATGATCTGTGACACCCTTTTCAGCAAACATTAATTGAGTGGCATTTCTTTTTTCCACAAATCATCCATCTGTCCCTTCTCATGCAACTTTTGAGTTTTAAAAAGGTAGAAGGCAAGCTTTCTTTCGGTCACATGTTTGGCCTAAGAAGATAATCTGTGACTTAGACAGTATAATTTACTGTAGCCTTGTAAACAAGTCTAAAAGATTCACCAGCCTGGAGCAACATATTAAATATAAAACCAATTAAAGTCAGTCTTCTTTTCTCTTTGTGCATTAAAACTTCTGGCAGTAGGTAAATGGCTAGATTTAATGTTGCTGTAATCATTTGGGGGTCCAGGTGGGATTGGGAAAGCTAAGAGAGAAACAGTGAGAAATTTTTAAAAATTAGGCGTTATTGAGTTGTAGGTAAACAAATCCAGGATCCAGTTTTCTTAGTTTTTATGCTAATTTTCGATTCTTTTAAAAGATCACAAATTATCTCACTAATAAGAATGCTGGTAAATAAAGCAGAGGACATACATCAAGTTGTCTGTGTGGTCCTGTTGCTTGGATATTAAGAGGAGATTTTTAAATATGGAACTGTCATCTATTTTGTAATAGGTTGAAAGGTATTTATAATTACACTAATAATTTTTGAAATGTAGACCTTAGACATTGGCATGTTTAGTTACATTCACTATGAAAAAGATGTTGTTTACCCTTTGAGAATTTCTTAAGGAAAAGAAAAATCAATCTCCATCAATGGGCAATATTTTTCTCCCCAAGGGATATTGATTTGAACATTGACTTCACCATGGGTGAGTTATTTCCTTCAGACCCCCTATTATGAATTGTTAGGTGACATGTCTTTTATGAGCCAATAAACATGTTGTTTCTAGTATAGTAATCTCATCAGGGAGATTCCAACTTCTGAATTGTGGTTGGTTTGGAATATTTCAGCTTTTGTATGTCTTAAATGTTTCTATGGGACTTATTCCGAGTTTAAAAAGCAGTATCTCTCATCTTTCTGCCTTTTTAAATGAGGTATAGCTTTTTTGATGCTTCTAAGGGACAATCAGGTGGCAGTGAATAAGTTCCTTTGCTGCTTGCTCCTCAGCTGCATGTCCTCTCAGCTTGTGCGTGGAATCCATGACTCATGCGTAGTCTTCACGATTCCCCTTTCTCCCTTATGCAGTGGTACAATATGAGTATCTCTCATTTTGAAAATGAGCCGGATTTTCAATTTACCAGAGAAACCAGTAAAGGAACATTGTGGTGGGTAGAGATGGAGGAGAGGATGGGGAGTGTAGAATTTTTGTTAATACGAATGGTCATTCTTCAATTTATCTGCTATCTGTTTGGATTTGAGTATAATGTGTTTTCTTAATGAGTTTTCTCAAAGAGCGCATTTAGAATTTATATTAGATTGCCTTGGGCTTATTCGTCCATCCATTTATTCCTCAACAAATATTAATTTACCCTCCTGTCATGTGCCAGACACTGTTCTCGACATTGGTGATACCAGGATAAATGAGACCCATGTGAGGCACTCAGATTGTGAGTGTTGTTGGGAAGACATTAGGTACGATAGTTATGAACATCATACGTTGCCACAAAATACTTTAGGAGCCCTGAGGCTTATCTTTGGGGTGGTTTGGAGTACCAAGGAAGCCTTCAGGGAGGAGGTGAGCATCAGCAAGTAATTAATCAGACCATGGGCTTAGGAGAGGAACAGAAGTGAGTTGATGTCCCTGTTGCATGGTGAGAGAAATCTTAAGCAAGTCACTCTACCTTTCTGAGCCTTAGTTTCCTTGTTTGCAAGTTGGAGATAGCAACAATATCTGCCTCACCAGATTGTTGTGAAAATGAAGTGAGAATGCACGAAAAGTCCTCAGCACTGTGCTTAGCACAAAGTAGCCACTCAATTAGTGTTTGCTATAAAGGTGTAATAAGGGTGACATTTTAGCACGCTGTGTAACATTAATCTGACAGATATTTATTGGGCACCTACGATGTGTGTCATGTCCTAGAGCTGGGTCCTGGGCAGGAGACCAACAGTTTGTCAGGAGACACCATGAGGGTGGAGTGAGGGATAGAATGACAGGCAGCTTGTGCGAGGCGTGGAGGGGACACACCGCATCTGTACGGGAGGAGCCTGAGGTGGACTCTTCCTGCTGGAGTTCAGAGCACCAGGGCAGGGCTGGTGGAGGAAGAGGCAGCAAAGGTTTGTCCTGGCAGACCAAGAAGGGCCCTATGTGGCAGTGATGGCCTCCAAGCAGGAAAGAGGCAGACATGTTCATTTGTAGTTTCTCACTTCCAAGTTTTCCGTGGATGCACATTTCCGAGACGCCCATCTTTTTGTTCTTACCACCCTCTGCATGTTGCCTTAATAAAGTGATGCCTCTGCTATATACTCAGTAAATAAGTCTTCAGACTTCCCTGTTCTCCACATGCAGAAATATTTCAGCCGTTTCTTCACCCTGTCGATTTCAGAATGCTCAGATTAAAATGCTCGCTTTTGTGCTTATTAGGGAGATTCATGAATTGGGAATTGTGATCATGTCACCGCTTAAAACTTTTCATATTGCTCTTAGGATAAAGTCCAAAATCCTGAATGTGCCCTACAAGATTTTACATAATCTGCCTCCTGTCCACGGCTCCTGCCTCATCTCTTGAAACTCTTCCCACTCGCTCCACGTCTCCATGGCACTGGCCTTTTTCCTGTTATCGCAACACCACAAGCACCTTTATACATGTTGCTACCTCTCTTTGAAAGGCCTTTCCAACCCCTTCTCCAGACAAACCCCTCTCTTGATTTGGGGTCTAACTTAAAAGACATTTGCCCAGGAAAGGTCTCCCTCATTTCCTGGGTTAGAAGCCCTAATGATACTTGCTTATACCACCTATAGTTTTCTTTTATTTTACTTATCATAAGTGAAATGAGTAAGTAATTTGAGCGTAAGCCTTATTCATCCAACAGATATTCTTTGAGCTCCTAATATGGCCTAGATGTCAGGGATACCATACTGTAAGACAGTCAAAGTCCCTGCCCATGGAGCTCCATAAGAGGGGCAATGAACAAGAAACAAATAAAGATATGATAAATGTCAGCTAGTGGCAAATACTCTGGAAAAAAGTTAAGCTGGGTAAGGAGACTGAAAATGAGTTGGAGATTATAAGAGGAAAGGGCTTGTGGTTGTCTTGTTCAGTATAGAATTCCCAATCCCCAACATAGCACCTGGCATCTAGAAAGTACGTAACAAATATTTGCTGAATGAGAAGCATATTGGTTCCAGAAGACCCGAAGGAGCTAAGGGTAGTGAAGAGGACTAACGGGGCTATATAGTTATGCTTGTTTCTCCCCAAGTTCCCTGACTGCATCTGGGATAATGTCGTCTGTGTGTTTACCCCACGTCCAGTATGAATCCACGTCAAACCTAATTCCCTGTTAAAGTTGATTACAGTCACACCTTTTGTGTGGTATTGTTGCATACTTTCTTCTTAATTGCCATGGGCAGAACTGCGACTCGTCGGTGAATGAAATATTTATGCTTTGAAGAATTGGTGTTCTAATCAGTTTCTATTTATACTGATGATCAACTATTTCTCAGTGAGGAGGAGGATAATTTTTTCTGTGATCTGTGTACTTCTAAATGACTAATGAAGTCAATCTGGGCCTGGCAGATTTTGCCACGACTTGGACAGACGTTGCACTCATGATGTTGTGTGACTTCTCAGCTTGCTGGTTCCCTTGTTCCTATTGCAATGATCTCATTATTGGCATTTTGTTTTCAAAGTGTTATCTTTCCCATTTTGCATTATGCCTCTGTGTGGCTCGGACTTAAGGCACTGTCTACCACTTTTCTTTCAACCACACATCTTCTTAAAGAATATTCTGAAGATGAAACATCTTCCATTAGCTTTGTTTTGTTTTAATTTTTGCGGAATGGGGGGAAGGAGAATTCATGCTCTCATAATTATCTTCTTTAGTTTGAATGACAGAACTGGACTTCGGGCATCAGTTTGCAGTGAGATCCAGACAAATTGGGTCCATTCTCTAGACTTGGTTTAAAAAAAAAATTGAACAGCGTGAAGGAAATGAGCCACAGGAGCCATTCTCTTCCTCTTCCCTGGACCCTGGTGCACCTTTTCTTTTGTGCTGTCACTTGGCCCCACTTCTCACATGACACAGCCTCTTTCCCTGCCCCAGGGGCCCTTTCTGGTTCTGCAGTTCTTTGGGAGTCTGTTGCTTTGTTTGTACCGCTCGTTGGACAAGAAACACCAATCAAAGTCCAGACTCTAAGTTCATTTTGGCTCTAATCCATGCTCTTTTGGCTGTCCCACCCCTCTCTCTCTGTGCATCACCCTGTTTATCTCCATGACCAGATCCCTAACTCCCCAACAGAAAATCACATATTTTATATCTATCATTACCCAGCTTCCTCAACCACCCCATGCACTCATAATGAGGTCTTCAAATAGTTGTTGCTCATGGGATTGGTTAAGAAAAAGATTGGAGAGAAACGGAATAGATCTTCATCTCCACACTGTTTCCTTCAATCTTATCAATTTGTAATTATGTGTTTATTTATCTTTTTACTTATTGACTGCTCCCCCTTCCCTCGAACTGTAAGCCTCATAAAGGCTGGGAAATGTGTCTGCTTTGTTGACCAAGGTATGCCCAATGCTGGCCAAAATAAACATGTTTAATGAATCTCTGTGGAATATAGGAGTGAATATAGAGGAGAAGGAGCTTATTCAGGGTGGATTTTCGCTCACCCTAAAGAAGTGAAATGAAAGCAAACTTTGGTGGTTTTTGTTTAACTGTGAGCAAATTGGTATGGACTGAGAAATTCAATTAACTGTATTCATCAATTTTTGTCTCTGGGGTACAGTCATGAGAGTAAGACCCAGAATTCTTGGTCCCACCCCTTTTGTGGCATTAAAAAAAAAGCCTTGGCATATTACACCAACCAGATTTTTTTCTTTGTCTCAAAGAAGGCTCAGCTGAACGTTACATTCCTCCCCCCCATACAACAATCAAAAACTCAGAAAACCTCAGCTGCCTCAGATGATGTCACAAAACCCTTAAGAATGCTCACTGCTGAGTTGGGCACAGGTCCAGCAAACACAATTCTTTCTGCCAGTTATTCAGGGTCTTTGACAGATTAGGTGGTCTTTTTTCTTCTTCTTCTTCTTTTTTTCATCCTCTTAAAAGGCAGTTCAGTTTACCTCTAAGCAAGACATTAGCTCTGGCTGCCCCAAATAACATTTTAATTGAAGTCTCAGTCCAAACAAATGCCTGGCCTCTTTATTAACCCCAACAGTGTAATTTTTCAACCTAAGACTGATTCAGGGGGAAACTGTCTCACTTAAACTGCCATGCAACGGAACATGGCAGTTTTCCTCAATCAGTCTCTTTTCTGACCTTAATTTGAACCTTAATCTCTTTTAACCATGTTCTCTTTATTAGCTGCTCATAGCCGTGGCACAATGCTAATTTTCCTGTTTTTAGACGATCAGTTTACAGAGGTATTTCACTCCCCCTCGTGCCCCCAACTGTAACCAAGATTTCATGGACCTTTTTGGGAAAGGAAAGGTAATACTTATTCTTAACAGTTTTTTAGGATTAGTAATTTAAATAGCTGCTTTGCAAAAGGTTCTGGAGAATTTTAGACTGTGTGTTTTTGAGATACATTAAAGTTTAGGTACAAAAAAATCATACACTTCATTGTCAGAAAAACCTAAAAAAAGCTCCTTTTAAATGATTACAAAAGACTTTTCATCAATAGACAGGTCCACACATAAAGTGGAAACTAAGGCTATTATCTTAATAATTCAGTAAAAAAACAATATGTTTTTATTAGAAACCTCTAATCTTTTGGGGAGACCTGAATTATCCAGATAATTGCTTCAATTCCTCCCTTCATTTTTATGCTTAGATATAATCAATGAGTAACGACAGAGAAAATCATTTTTTCTTAATTATACCTTCCCATTTTTTGACGTTGGTAAAATGATCCAAATTAAAAAGAAAAAAAAAAAGGTCTTTCAATAACAGTGAAAAAGAATGTGTTTCTCTATTTGGAGTCTATCTTAATATAGCAGAACTATGTAGGTAGGAAAACAGTGCTTATGATCATGTGCTCAATTAGATTTATTATAGGTTTTTGTACTTTTTGGCATTAGCATGAAAGCATATTGGTTATTATTCTTTATAACCTAATTGGAGACTTTGTAACTACTTACCCCTCTGTTCTCTGCTTAATACAATAGTTTGTTGATTGCAAGAATTACATTTCTGTGACTTTAAAGTCCTAGAACTGGGATTGTCATTGAAAGTTGGAGATTCAGGCTGGTCTTTGGAGGGCAGGGCCCATGTGCCCTCTGGGTGTGAGGAGGTAGGCAGCTGGGAACAATTGTCTGTCCCCTGTGGTGTTCAGTGGCATTAGCAGCGTGTTGGCACGATAAACTTTGCCTTCATTTCACTGGCTCAAACAATTAGTGGGATTGGATCAGAGTTCTCCTGGATCATAGTTTATTATATGTTATTAAATTCCATTATTCAAGAAGTTGCTGCTACGATTATGAAACTTCCCAGCGTCTCCCACAAAGCCCCCATCTCCATTCCCTGTGCATTTTCTTTTACATTTATCTTTTGCTTCTCTGATAGACAAGGTTTGTTTTTTCTTTTTCTTCCCCCTTGGGACTTATTTAAAGAGCTAAGAGCTAATTTGAAAATACATCTTTGAAAGGACAACAAAAATGAGATGTGAAAAAAATGGATGAAGATTCTTAATTAGTCCATTATTTGACACGCACGATTTAACATGGTATGCTTAGCATTGTGCATTCCCCAAAAGAACAAGGCTCTTTTTTTTTTTATCCCAAACTTTAACTCCCTCTCATTCATTATATCCCTTCTTGTCACTTTCTATTAGCCGATCATGACATCCTTTGCTGGAAGGGCGAGCAAGCAGATTACTTCCAAACTGGTGTAAGTGACACTCAAAAGACTGGCCTAAAGGGGGTTCTGTGATAGCAACAAGCTCCTCAGCCCCCGGAGTTGGAGAATGTCATTTCAATAATATATTGGAGTCCACTGTCACATCATTTCTCTAGCAACTTGGCAGCTTCTCAGAAGTGGCAGGAATAGGTCTTCTGCTGGAATTTATGTGTGATAGCATCTAGTGTTATCACTGTGGCTGATAATAATAATTTATTGTGCCAATCCAATCCTTCTAACTAGCATCTTGGATTTTACCGATGTGGAAACTGAGGTCCAAAGAAGTTAAATAAATTGCCTAGGGTCACACAGCTGATAAGTAGCAGAGCTAGGATTTTAATTGTCTGGCAGACTCTAAGCTATGCCTCTTTCCATTGGAGCAGGCTACACACGTTACATCAACTTCCAGGAAACTTCAGCATGTCTCCTTAAATTTAAAGAATAGAGAAATGATCAAAATAGCATTCATTTTAATGCAACTTAAAGATACTTTGTCATCAGGTGCATCTAAACGGAGGTGGGAGATGACTGAGTGAGTCAACTAGACATAGATAGATTGTGCTAAGAAAGGAAGTGGAGAATCTGATGCTCTAATCAGATCAGCCCTGGTGATGTGAACTCTTCTCCAGCCCATCATCCCTGCCCCGTACAATCCCCTTCTCCCCAAGGTTTAACCTTGGGAATCAGATCCTCAGCCTTGGAAGGGGATTGACTTGGGAAGAGCTGAATGATTGCAGATGAAAAGTGTATCCCAATCAGTCACAGACAGCAGTAGACTCTGGTCTGAACAGCATCAGGACCGGTCCTGGCTGCCACTCAGATCCTCACACCACCTCTGGCCTCATGGAGTTTTCTGCTTCTGCGAAAACCAAGTTCTCTTCATTAACCAACTTTCAGTTTCTTTCCTTCATTAAGCAAGTTTTAGCTTCTTTTCTCAGTAACCTTTCAAAACATTTTGATTATAAAATAGAGAATATGGAAATATAGAGCAATACGTTAAATAAAAGTCACCTCTCATTCTACCACCAGGGGAAAATTGATAGTCTCATGGTTTGTATCCTTCTAGTCTAAGCTATACATAATGTGCTAGGCAGTCTTCTTAAATACAGAGAGCAGTGTAACCTAATCTCTCTGGACCCCAGTTCTCTCCTATGTAGAGTATCTCCCTCATAGAGTTGTTATGACAACGATCTAGTGATCTAATGGGAATCACTTACTGTGTTTTAGTTATCGTTAAATATGTGTTGGTCCAGTGTTCTTGTCTTACTATTCCTGACCCTGTTCCAGCTTCCTTGATTCCAACACCATAGACAATTTCATCTTCGGCTCTGATTCTGTCCCTTTTCAGTCCATTTGGTTTGACCAGCCTCCCCTTTAAACCACATCAGTGATTTTCCAGGTCTCAATTCCTGTCCATTTAACCATAACTCTTCAATAAGCATTGCCAGCATCTTATTTCCACTCCTGTCTGATGGACACATTTCTGCCTGGATGCCCTGCTAATCCAGCCTGGCACCAAGGCAAAGCCTGAGCAGCCCTCCTTGTTCTCATCTCTCTTGAAGTCCATCAAGTGAGTGCAGCTGGGGGCAATATTAGGAGTTTGTGATCATCAAGACTGCAGCAACATCAACCCACCATTTGGGGCCTCTGGAATGTCAATGACAAACTAGATTCCAGATATATATGTATGCATTACAAGGGCAAGTGTGTTTGTTTAAACCATTTTAAATGCAAAAAAGAAGATAATTATGAAGGATTTTTTTATTATCTTCTTTTTAAAAACCCTCTGTTGTCAAGTTCTTGTTCTCAGAGACCTTTGCACCACTGAGAAGGGAAAAAGAATAATATATGACATATAAATATATATTTATACATATTTTTAACTGTGTGTGTGATGGGAGAGTGGATGACCAGTGACAGGAATGGATGAACGGGAATTACATTTAATGAAGCTGGGAGTTCACATGGACCTTTCAGACTTAAAAAAAAAAAAAAAAATGTTGATTTTACATGCCAAAGTCTTGAAAGGGGCTTGACAGCTCACGGCTTTGGTATATTTTTCCAGATGGCATATGCCATTTTGTGTTTTGCATAAACTGACTAAATTTGCTTGCTCTTTGTACTTATTTCAGAGGCAACCATTCTTTGCTTTCAATAGGGCAGAAGAGCTCCTTGGCACTGGAACCCTCCTGGTCTGGTGAGGGAGGAATGAGGATACACAGGCGCCATCCAAAACTTCCTATGTTCAGATTGAGGAAAGAGGTTGGGCCAGGCCTTTGGATTCTCATTACCTAAGGACGGTTCTGACTGTGAGAGCAAATCACAGAAGGTAAGCTACGCTGAAGAACTTTCGAAAGTTATCTTTCCAGTTTGTCCGTTATTCTCTCCATGGAAGACAGATAAATTCATTATGCTCTTATTTTAATTCCTCTACATCCTGCTAAATGCTAATTGTATGATCCTGTAACTTAATCCCTCTGTGCTTTGGTTTCTGCAAAAAAAAAAAAAAAAAGTTAGGATGATTATAATAAATAACACTTACCTCTTAGGATTGTTGAGAAGATGCCATGAGTTCATCCACGTAAAGGATTTAGAACAGTGCCTGGCATATACGAAGTGCTCGAGAAATGTTACTAATTGTTATGGTTGTTATGATTAATTTCTCTGTAAATTTGCATTTTTTTTCTTATTTTTTGCTGATTGACCCTGCCCCACTCCCATCATGATAATGCTAACTCATTGGATTGTTTTTATGGAAATAGACTGGTAGTAGAGTGGTTAAGCTATGGGCCTTTGCAGTCAGAGCCAAGCTGAAGTTCTTGAAGTAACATTCAACAGCTCTATCTCCTCAACAAGGGATTTAATTTCTTCAAGCCTCAGTTTCTTCATCTATAAAATGGGGATGATAATAATAGTACTTGCCTCATAACATTTTTGAGAGGATTAAGTGAGACAATGTTTGCACAATGTCTGGCAAGCATATAAAGCATGTTATGTATTGTTATTATTTTTGCTACCCTAAATATACTGAATGATGCTCTTATACTCAAAAGTGCCTCTAGAAGCTTGTCAAGGCTCCAGGGGTCTAGCCTCATGTCAGCTCCCCTACCAGAAAAGAGGGCAGACACAGAAATAGAAAGATGCTGTGAAGCCATGACTTTATGGGGACTCTTTGCCAAATAATGACACAGAATTGAGAGAGTCGAGGCTTGCTCAATATAGATTTCAGTTAAAGTTAGAAAACTCAAATTTCTGAGCAAGCCAGTCCCAACTCATTACACTGGGGATTATTTCAAAGAACAGGATCTATCGGGATTGGAACTGAAATCTTATTCTTCTGTCTTAAGCCCAGAAAATAAGGCATAGAGTGAGGTAGGTTGTGGGGAAGAATTAGTTACTTGTGCTGGTTACCTCTCATGGAGGAGTGTGTCATTTTCACATTTTAAAAATTCAATATTCAAAAAACTAAAAATAAAAGATTCAGATTTTCAAAAATGTATATTTATTTCTTCCCTTACACTGAAAATGGATGGAAGTTGCATCTGAGTGAAAGAAAACCCTCTCAACACTATACTTGTGTTATTGAACAGTTGACAACTGTCTACACCCCTTTTGCCATTCTCATCCAGCAGTTATGCGTGGTCTCTATTAATAACTGAATAAAAAGTTAAGAACTGAACACTTGGAACTTTTCCCCCAAAGACAGCATGAAACCTGAAAAAGGCAAAGAACATGGAACAGGAAGTGTAGAAAGCCTCAACACTATTGCAGATATCTTGTTTGCCCTATTAGATTTGTTTTGACCTCCCCCTTCCACTGCCTATCACTTCTAACAGTAAGAGTAAGATGGGATCTGAGTTGGAAGGAAAAGGCACAGAAATGACTGCCTTTCGCAGTTTTGATGAGATGACAGCCCATCTTTTACTCTAGACCTCATGCTTAGAAATTTCTCAGAGAAGAGAGTAGATTGCTATGATTAATTATCATTAACAGTAAAATAAGAGAGGGAAGTAAGATCAAACAAGAGACAAAAGAGAGAGAGAGTACATGTCAAAAGAAAAGTTGGAAAAAACAAGAGGAAGCTATGTTATTAAAGTGGGGGAAAGAAATTACACAGCAGCAAAAAAGAAAAGAACTTTCTAGTACTGCGACAGTGATGGCTAGCTGACCAATGAAGATTGATCCTCCCCTTCCACAGTGTAAAGTTGTTTCTGGGAAGCAGTGGCTTAGCCAGAGACTGTGTTTCCCAGCCTCTCTTGCAGTGATTGTGGGACCAGGTGACTAGGTCTTATCAGTGGAATGTGAGCTGAATTGAAGAGGTGTATGTCACTTTTGTTCTCAGTTAAGATTGTACATAGTTGCGCTGTTCTCTCTCTGTCACTCTCTCTCTCTATCTACTGGCCGGATAATGCCAGGACAACCTTGATGTCACCTGTATATAGAAGATGTAGAGCCATTATCTGGAAAGAATCTGGATTCCTGATTCACTGCTTGGAGGAGAGCAGCCTGGGACAGCTGCCCAACCAGGAATAGTCACATTACACTTTTTGTGTAACATATAAGAAATAAACTTTCATATGTTAAGCCACTGAGCTTTTGAGGATTGTTTATTTTATCAACAAGCATTACTTACCTTGACTAAAACAGAAATTGGTACCAGAAGGGAGTTCTAGAAGCAATTGCTTTTTCTTTTTATCTGTGCTTAAAAACCAGTTAATTATTTCCTGATATCCTCTTATTCTCCTGTTATGTTGTCAAAAGCAGCCAATAACAACCAACACGTGCTATTTTTCATGTAAAAGCTCAAGAGTCACGTGGTCTAACTTTGAAGTTACCAAAGGCAACAGTTTTGCCAAGTGTTTTTCCACTGTGTGATATGGATCTCCAGCCATCCCTCCTAATATATCTGCTTCTAGCAACTTGACCACAAAGTCAGTGCCACATATTTTAGGGTTTTGTTACAGGACACCACATCTGGTACCAAATATAACAATCAAATTTAGTCAGAAAAATAGAAGCCTCTTGTGGCAGATAGAATGTAATGTGTTCACCAAACCATTTCTTCTTCCTGGGCACAGGAGAAGATCGTAATCCCCTCCCCTTTGCAATTTAATTGGGGCCGTAGGACCAATTCTTTGTAACGGAATGTAAACAGAAGTGCTGTGCCACCTTTGGTCCAGGAGGTTAAGAGTGCCAATATGCTTTCTCTATGTTCTTTCCTCCTCTTCCACAGGGCTCTTGGAGGATGTGTGTTCCGGATGGTGTAGCTACAAGATAGAAGCCACTCAGCCTACATCCTGAACAGGAAATAACTTGTATTTTGTTATACTATTCAGATTTTGGGGGTTGTTTAGTACCGAAACATCCCTATCCCATTATGACTAATATGCTTGAAGTATTTCAGTAAGGAAGGAATTCAAGGTAAGGAATTAGAGGTTTACAGAATCAAATCATTAGGAGAGCTAGGCAGTGAAGGTCAAGGAGGTTGTTACTAACTTTCAGGAAATCAGAAGTGAAGGAATCACCAGGAACTCAAGTTGCCACTGATAATTTCAGCTGCCTACAGCACTCAAGGGGGTGAGTCTTAGAATGATGCTCAGAAGCTGACACATAGACATATGTCTGCTGTCTGCCAATGCCCACACACCTGCTTGTAGCTACTGATAGAAGAAAATAGCTTTTTCCTTCCGCCTTCCAATGATTGCAAGAGCACCTCTCAATGGCAGATTGTACCAAGAACCCTCCTGGCAAGGAAGCCTGGGAAATGTAGTTTCCAGGCTTTCAGCCCTTGTTGTACAGAGGGGAGCTTAGAAAGACAAAGGTGGTATTTACTGAGTCTCAAAAAATGTCTGGTACCAGTGCTCCTTGTCCTTCTCGTGGGAAATTCAAGTTGGTCATCCCTCCTTACCCGTTTTCTCTTGACTCTTTCTTGAGGGCAGATCTTAATAAATTCTCTATCCCCTGGTGCCAGACAATACCAGAGAAAAAATTGTTCTGAATTGATTTGAATGGAATGACAACAGAATCAATAGCAAATAAAGTTATCCCCGTGTGTTTAAGTGAGATTTCAAGATCTCCTATCCCTGGAATCTGATAATTCTCCCTAATGACTGTCCTAGATTCTGCCCCTACTTAAGCCATTTTCCTTCCCGACCTGCTCAGAGTGACCGTGAAGAGCTGCTTTCTCAACAAATGACCTTAAGTTTGAGCTCTGGGTTCTGTCTGCGTAGCCAAAAGGAGGATGATTTGACAGTAGTCTGGTTTATTGGACCCATGGAGACCTTCAATCATATATATTTTTTTGTTGGTTGTGTAGACTTAGTCAAAGTATTTCTATGTTTTAGTCATTTTGTTCTGAACCCAACCTTTGTGCTCTTGCAGAGTTAGGATCTCTTTGGAAATGTGGGGTCTATAAGTTTACATTGGGGCAGGGTGAGGAGTATTCCATAGGTGAGGAGGAGGTGGGGTGGGCTTGGGTGTTAGAAAGGACCTGTGCACCCATAAGAAAAGGATACTCGGGAAAGGGAAGGCCAGACCCTGGTATGATTTCATTTGAAAAGGCACAAAGTTAAGACTGCAGAAGATTACAGACACCCTCTGACATTTATTTTCCTCATCAAAAAAAGGGTAAGACTATTGTGCCCATGACGAAAATAATGGTAGAATGACTCAGACTTATTTACAGCCATCAAAGAAATGAAAGATATGGATTGTCACTAATTAATCTTCTTATCATTATAAAGTGGTGACCATATCCAACTGAAGAATGCTGTGTGCATAATAGCACAATTATGGGGGATGTGATGATGTAACAGCTGCTAGTGCCCAGCGTTTAGTCTCTCTTTTCCATTCCCACCCACCCTGATCTCTGGCTATATTTAGTTGTTTTACACGGTGTACCTGGACCAAAGTCTACTTTACAAAATTAAAAGAATAGAGAGAAGAGTTAGAGTCTTCATAGAAAAGTCAGGCTTCACAAAGTCTATTTGCCTAGCTTACTCATGTTCCTTCTTGGTTAGTATATTTTCTCCTACTTTGCACCTAGAATCATGGCTGAAACACAATCATGAGTTTACTTTGTGTAAAGGGAAGTAGGGCGTTGAGCAATCATCTGACGAATACAGTCAAGATGGTTAGTGAATCTGGAAAATTCCACTCTCAAAAAAATTACTTTCTCTGCTCTGTAGCAGATTTCCTCTTGGCCTTAATTATCCACAGAGTTGTCCAATTTTCTGATGGTCTTTACTGTTGTTGACATCACCTTAATAATTTATTTAATGGATTTCATTGGGTTCATTTGGGAACCTTTATTCCAAATGGCTTCTTTTATCAATTAATTTACTTATTCAATAAACATTGAACACTGTTGCAGGTATCTACTGCTTGTAATAAACAGTTCCAAAACCCAGTGACTTAATGCAACAATTTATCATCACTGTTGGTTCTTGAGGTTGATGGGCTCGGCTGGGCAGTTTTACTTGGAGTTTCTCATATGGTTGCAGGTTGCAGTAGCTTAGGCTAGACCCATCTAAAGGTTTCTTTACTCACGTCTGCATTGGGCTAGTCAGGAATCTCCTTCTTTCCAAGTGGTTAGCTTGGGCTTCCTCAGAGACTGTTGGTCTCTTGGTTATCAGCTTTCTTATATTGTGAGCAGCTTCCTCCAGTGAAAGTGTTCTAAAAGATCCAGGCGGAAGATGCAAATCTCTTAAGACCTAGCCTTAGAAGTCATGCAGATCACTTCTATCTTCTGTTTGTCAAAGCAGTCACCAGCCAACCCAGATTCTAGGAGTTGGAGAAATACTAGATTCCACCTCACAATTGGGGAATGGCTTATGCATTCAAGGAAGGAAAGAATTGATAGTGGTCATCTAAATGGCAAGCTACCACAAGTACCTACTATGTGACAGGCACTGTGATAGGGACTGGGGAAAAAGTGTTGAACAAAGCAGGCATAGTCTCTGCCCTTGTGGAGATTAAAATCTTTCTTAATTAACTTTAGTTCAACTTGACAGTTTTCACATCCTCTGCTGAACAGTAAATCTCAACACCAAGTGTATTTGGTTATGAAACTGGCAAATCAATATTTTGATAATTTGTCGTCTGGTCCTGTTGGCATTCTCAATAACCAGATTGAATGAACTCTGTGATTATCTAATTCATAACTTGATGACCAACTCGATGAGCTGATTCATCCAGGCATTCTTTAAAACATAAACTGAGTAAAATTGGGGTATTTGTCTGTCGCTTAACATGTTGAGTTCCTGCTGTGTGTGGAGGCTGAAAGTAGCTTTCTGAACTTGTCACAGGGAATATAAGAGAAGCTGAAAAGTCAGCTTTTGCCCCTGAGGAGCTTCCATTCTTTTTAGCAGTTCTGATCGTGTGCAGGTGGAGCAAGTTGTGACAATAACAAGCAAGATGGGGAACCCAGAAAACATATGAGAAACTAGATAGGCAGTATCTTTCAGTTTCCCTCCTGAGAATTATCTTTTGGAGAGAAGTAACTGATTATTTGCCTCAGTTTTCTTCTCCTTTTTGTCATTAAAGGAAGGTGATCTGGGTTTGTTAAGTAAAAAGAGATTTCAGGACAGGAATGTTGACAGAAGAATTGGTGCTGTTCAGCAATTCTCAGGTCTTATCATTTTTGGCATAGTTTATGTCCATTTCAGTGGTGACAGCTATGAAGGGCTGGGGGTGGGGGGCTCATGATGACACAAGAGATACCTTGACCTTTCAGAAACAAAGGTCAAAGCCCGAAAAGGTCCAAGAGCAGGCAGGATTCCTGTGCACACTTGTCTAATTCTCCACTATGGACCTAGTATCATATAGTGCCTTCTTATGTTACATCTGCATGTCTAGGTTATCTCTCGTAGCCTAAAGGAACATTATAGGGGATATTTTAAGTAAAACAACAACAAGACGTACTTTACCTTAATTACCTGAATGTTTCAGGCAAAACTAAATTTTGGTTTCACTGTCATATGACAAGGCTCCTCTATCAGTCCATTAACTTTAACTTCATAGCTCATACTTCATCAATATGGATACTGCTCTCACGCTGGTGAATCCTGTGTTCCCCGGGTATGATTTGCTATATTAAACTTCTATTTCTCATGCCAATTTATTTATCTGAAATGGCTGTCCCTATTTTCTCTGGAAATTCACAATAGATTTTAATTATATCCTACTCTTCATTCCGCCAACACATGCTTATTTGATGTGTTTTGTGTTACATTGTTATTTTATGCCTGCTGATAGATATATCGCTTTATGACTTGGGCACCTGATTTGCCCAACTGGATGGTAAACTGAATAGCAGGAGCTTCTCTATACACACATATATACATATATATATTCATACATGTTACATGTGTAGTATATGTTTACATACATACACAGGAGACATTCTCTCCATAGCTAATAGACGTGCTTCATGCTCCACTTTCCTTCTATTTTTATGGGTTAAAATCAAGTAGATTATCTTATAATTACCTGTTGAATTAGATCAATACATATGCCTAATGGATTATTCATATTTTTAAAGCACTTCAACTTCATATTCACAAAGATGAAAATAATTTAGATTATTTCTCATCTTTTCCTCTGGGAAAATTCTTTTCATCAATTTATAACAAACATAAATACTTGAGCTGTGCAAGTATTTGTGATTGATTATTTGGGGCAAAATGCTTTTTTTCATGAATTATAGAAGTCTTTAACTCCTCAACTTGAGGCAACCAAGGCTTTGAATTTCTGTGTCGGCCTTATGGGAGTTTATCCAGGTTTGTTTTTATCGGTCATGAGGGAGCCACAAGCATAGCTTGGAGGACCTATGTTGTCTGAGTATCCTTCTGCTCGGACTCCCTAAAGGAACATACAATTTAAGAAGAAACTTGGGGTTGGCCTCAGGGAAAATCTCCTAGCCAATGTATCATCCCTACTCTTCCCTCTTCTAACCAATTTGCTGTCCCTAAAACCTTTTCATATACAAAGTTTGGTGCTGCAGCTGCATATCCACTAGATAAGGGGTATCCTAACTTGTTTGATTTCAGGCCACCAGGAAACATTTTCTATCCTCCAAATATTATGAATTATTTTGACATTCCTGATGTTCCATTAACATGAAATAAAGCTTACTTCTCACAATTAGACATAGACTTAAAATGAAAATCCTCTGGGAAGCATTAATGATGCGTCCTTATTCACATAAGACAATAATGACTCATAGAT